CCTGGGTGTCCTGTGGATATTATCATTCTGCCTTTGTTACTGGTACGTATACCACTGCTACCTCATGTCAACTGCAAACCTTATGTTGTTTATTCTTAACAGTCACATGTTGTATTTAACCTTGAATATTTTAGTATATTTAAATTAGTGCTGTCAATTAAAAAAAACAAAAACGAATTAATCACATATTTTCCTATGATTAATCATATGTATATAATTATAGGATTAAAGATGGTATATTTTAAATATGATTTAATAGCATCTTTTTACAAAGTAGTCTATTATTAATGAAGGCCAGTATCAATGAAACCAATACTGCTGCTAATGTCTAAATGCACTTTTCTCTCAATTTCAGCCATTAATTATAGCCATTCAACATTGAATTATCATTTTAAGCCATTATTATTATTATTTTTTTTACAATTTAATAGGCTTTGGAAAATAATATTTTTAACGTGTTAAACTGAAGAAAAAAAAATCACACAATTAACATGTTAATTTTGACATGCCTCATTTAAATATTATAATATAATAATATTTTATATATTATAAAATTATATAATAAAATATTTTGAAATTGTATATTTAAATAGTATGTTTATAATATACTATAAGTAAATATAAATTATACAATTCTATAATGTTATCATATATAATATAATAACTTTTTTATTTTCAATTTCACTTTCAATAAAGTTTAATTCGTTTTGCTCTGTGAGTCATGTCTTATTTTAATGAATTATAATATGCATAATACATAATATAATATAATACACATAATATACAATTCTAGTTAAAATAATAACACTATGCCTTATTTTAAATTACATTAATGTGTAATAAAGCATAATATTATTAAATTAATATTTTAATACAATTTTAATGACATAATATTGAATTATTATTTTAAGAATAATAGTTGATATATTTCTTAAATGTAGCAGAGTGACTTTATTGTAATACCTGCGTAACATTTTAAATCTCCACTTTTTGACTATTCATGATGACCTTCCTGCTTCTTCTTCATGATCCATACAGCTCAGTATGGCAGCATTGAATTAATAAAATGTTCATTATTTGACCTTCTATGAAGGCTGGCTTGTTGCTAGGTGATGCTTGTTTCATTTGTTGCAGTGGATGGGGCCTTGTTCACATTTGGAGAAAAGGACAGTGGGAAGCTGGGCTTGTCCAAAGAGAAGCTGGCCAATCATAAAGTGCCTCAACAGGTGACAGGCATCTCTGATAAAGTGGTACAGGTATCCTGTGGAGGAGGGCACACAGTGGCACTTACGGGTAGGAGAACACATTTTGCTTTGTTGTCTTTCTTCTTTGTGAAGACTGAATGGTATGCACGTGTGGTAATGCAGAGCACGAGGTGTATTCGTTCGGCCTGGGCCAGTTTGGACAGCTCGGTCACGGCACTTTCATATTTGAGTCACGTTTACCCAGAGTGGTTGAACATTTCAGAAGGGGCAGAGTTAAACGTGTGGAGTGTGGAGAGAACCATACAGCGCTGATTACTGGTAAAACATGCACAGAAAACCACCTGATAACATTCTTTATGTACTGTAATACATTTGATATGATATAATTTCCTCTAAAACATATGCCAGTTCTGTTTGTTTATAAAGAATCTGACATGCTGGTTGCAGACAGTGGACTTTTGTACACCTTTGGTGATGGTCGACATGGAAAGCTGGGGCTTGGAGAAGAGAACTTCACCAACCAGTTCAAACCAACCCTATGTCCAAGATTCCTAGACTATCATGTACATTCTGTATGTATCATCATCACTGCCTATCAACCTTTTATAAC